CGCATGAAGGGTGCGCTGCATCCTGCTAAGGGTTTTCGGCATCTTGTGCTTACGTCCTTGGGTACGGATGAAAGCTACGTATGAATTGATTTATTTTCTGGTGCTTTAACTTCCAGAGACAGTTGAAAGCACTGTGTAACTGCCTCGAGGGTGCTTGACCATTTTAACACAACGTGGTGCGATCATCCCCCTTGCGCGGAGTGAGGGTTCTCCACCCCGCACAACATGATCTACTCGACCACCATTATGGTTACCGCCAAAAAAAAAAACGAAGGGGAAAAAAAAAAACGGTAACCTGGTTGCCGAGTTCACGAAGTGAATTGGCTTGTTTTACAACGTCGTTGCCAAGCGACGAAAACCCAACCCCGATGGTAAACACCGGGCCACAACGGGCCAGGGGGGCGGGGGCGGAAGGCTGTTCCCGTCTGTGTCGCGCGATTTTATCGGCCCTTACACGGGACGACCGGCCGTCTGCAGGGATAACTAGTTGTTTACAGGGAGGACTTCTTGTCTGCAGACAGAACACACGGAACGAAGGGCGGAAAACACACATACATACGCATACGAGAGGAAACACGAATAGCTCTTCTCAGATCAGTACCACAAGAACAAACCCTCACTGTACCAAGAGATAGAAACTACAGGTCCGTTTCCTGCGCCGCGGGCGTCTTTGAGACCACGCTCGACAACGAAGTGATTAGGCACCATCCCATACATACCTCTACGCTCTTGCGGGTTCATTTCTTCGCTGCTTAAAAAGGACTTGGTGCAAACCCGAAGGAGGCGTTTCGAACCCGTCGCCCCCCCCCCCAGTGTTTTCGCCTGGCGTGTACATAGGTCTCGAAATCACAAGGAACATGGACGAACTCTCTCTCCCTCTCTCTCCCTCTCTCTCCCTCTCTCTCTCTCTCTCTCTCTCTCTCTCTCTCTCTCTCTCTCTCTCTCTCTCTCTCTCTCTCTCTCTCTCTCTCTCTCTCTCTCTCTCTCTCTCTCTCTCTCTCTCTCTCTCTCTCTCTCTCTCTCTCTCTCTCTCTCTCTCTCTCTCTCTCTCTCTCTCTCTCTCTCTCTCTCTCTCTCTCTCTCTCTCTCTCTCTCTCTCTCTCTCTCTCTCTCTCTCTCTCTCTCTCTCTCTCTCTCTCTCTCTCTCTCTCTCTCTCTCTCTCTCTCTCTCTCTCTCTCTCTCTCTCTCTCTCTCTCTCTCTCTCTCTCTCTCTCTCTCTCTCTCTCTCTCTCTCTCTCTCTCTCTCTCTCTCTCTCTCTCTCTCTCTCTCTCTCTCTCTCTCTCTCTCTCTCTCTCTCTCTCTCTCTCTCTCTCTCTCTCTCTCTCTCTCTCTCTCTCTCTCTCTCTCTCTCTCTCTCTCTCTCTCTCTCTCTCTCTCTCTCTCTCTCTCTCTCTCTCTCTCTCTCTCTCTCTCTCTCTCTCTCTCTCTCTCTCTCTCTCTCTCTCTCTCTCTCTCTCTCTCTCTCTCTCTCTCTCTCTCTCTCTCTCTCTCTCTCTCTCTCTCTCTCTCTCTCTCTCTCTCTCTCTCTCTCTCTCTCTCTCTCTCTCTCTCTCTCTCTCTCTCTCTCTCTCTCTCTCTCTCTCTCTCTCTCTCTCTCTCTCTCTCTCTCTCTCTCTCTCTCTCTCTCTCTCTCTCTCTCTCTCTCTCTCTCTCTCTCTCTCTCTCTCTCTCTCTCTCTCTCTCTCTCTCTCTCTCTCTCTCTCTCTCTCTCTCTCTCTCTCTCTCTCTCTCTCTCTCTCTCTCTCTCTCTCTCTCTCTCTCTCTCTCTCTCTCTCTCTCTCTCTCTCTCTCTCTCTCTCTCTCTCTCTCTCTCTCTCTCTCTCTCTCTCTCTCTCTCTCTCTCTCTCTCTCTCTCTCTCTCTCTCTCTCTCTCTCTCTCTCTCTCTCTCTCTCTCTCTCTCTCTCTCTCTCTCTCTCTCTCTCTCTCTCTCTCTCTCTCTCTCTCTCTCTCTCTCTCTCTCTCTCTCTCTCTCTCTCTCTCTCTCTCTCTCTCTCTCTCTCTCTCTCTCTCTCTCTCTCTCTCTCTCTCTCTCTCTCTCTCTCTCTCTCTCTCTCTCTCTCTCTCTCTCTCTCTCTCTCTCTCTCTCTCTCTCTCTCTCTCTCTCTCTCTCTCTCTCTCTCTCTCTCTCTCTCTCTCTCTCTCTCTCTCTCTCTCTCTCTCTCTCTCTCTCTCTCTCTCTCTCTCTCTCTCTCTCTCTCTCTCTCTCTCTCTCTCTCTCTCTCTCTCTCTCTCTCTCTCTCTCTCTCTCTCTCTCTCTCTCTCTCTCTCTCTCTCTCTCTCTCTCTCTCTCTCTCTCTCTCTCTCTCTCTCTCTCTCTCTCTCTCTCTCTCTCTCTCTCTCTCTCTCTCTCTCTCTCTCTCTCTCTCTCTCTCTCTCTCTCTCTCTCTCTCTCTCTCTCTCTCTCTCTCTCTCTCTCTCTCTCTCTCTCTCTCTCTCTCTCTCTCTCTCTCTCTCTCTCTCTCTCTCTCTCTCTCTCTCTCTCTCTCTCTCTCTCTCTCTCTCTCTCTCTCTCTCTCTCTCTCTCTCTCTCTCTCTCTCTCTCTCTCTCTCTCTCTCTCTCTCTCTCTCTCTCTCTCTCTCTCTCTCTCTCTCTCTCTCTCTCTCTCTCTCTCTCTCTCTCTCTCTCTCTCTCTCTCTCTCTCTCTCTCTCTCTCTCTCTCTCTCTCTCTCTCTCTCTCTCTCTCTCTCTCTCTCTCTCTCTCTCTCTCTCTCTCTCTCTCTCTCTCTCTCTCTCTCTCTCTCTCTCTCTCTCTCTCTCTCTCTCTCTCTCTCTCTCTCTCTCTCTCTCTCTCTCTCTCTCTCTCTCTCTCTCTCTCTCTCTCTCTCTCTCTCTCTCTCTCTCTCTCTCTCTCTCTCTCTCTCTCTCTCTCTCTCTCTCTCTCTCTCTCTCTCTCTCTCTCTCTCTCTCTCTCTCTCTCTCTCTCTCTCTCTCTCTCTCTCTCTCTCTCTCTCTCTCTCTCTCTCTCTCTCTCTCTCTCTCTCTCTCTCTCTCTCTCTCTCTCTCTCTCTCTCTCTCTCTCTCTCTCTCTCTCTCTCTCTCTCTCTCTCTCTCTCTCTCTCTCTCTCTCTCTCTCTCTCTCTCTCTCTCTCTCTCTCTCTCTCTCTCTCTCTCTCTCTCTCTCTCTCTCTCTCTCTCTCTCTCTCTCTCTCTCTCTCTCTCTCTCTCTCTCTCTCTCTCTCTCTCTCTCTCTCTCTCTCTCTCTCTCTCTCTCTCTCTCTCTCTCTCTCTCTCTCTCTCTCTCTCTCTCTCTCTCTCTCTCTCTCTCTCTCCCTCTCTCTCTCTCCCTCTCTCTCTCCCTCTCTCTCTCTCTCCCTCTTTCTCCCCACCGCGGCGGAGGAATCGGGTGTAGGGACGCGGGCGACCTGCTCCTCCTTACGTAGCTCCGCGAACCCAGAGCTCCGTCCTGAGCCTGCCCGCAAACGTGGATTTTCACGAGGTGTGTGGCAAGAATAACAAAGAGCGGTGGTCACCGAGCAGAGCGTGAATATCAAGTCAAAATGGTGAAGGGTGACCTGAACAAAAAACAAGCAAGAGGAGATGATGCACGGGATAACAACGAACGTCTTCTCCAGAGTGGGGGCATTGAATAATCTGCCAAGCGTCGCTCCCAGCACCGGCCACTACAACGATTGGTGGGTGACATGTCGTATTCAATTATATCATCCATTGATGGGCAGTGTGGCCTCGGCTGGTGCATCAAACATGAAACACAAAAGAGGGACGTTTATAGTGGCACCGGGCTTAGACGGGACAACAATCAATGATGCCCTCTTCGTTGCCCGCTGTGCCTCTTCCATATCCAAGCTCCACGCTCGGAACAGATGGAAACAACAACAAAAACTACTACAACAACAACGACAACAACCCGTATCCAAGCTCCACGCTCGGAATAGATGGAAACAACAACAACACTATTACTCACTCCCTCGTTGCATCCCGCTACACCTACTACTTTTTCACCTATCCAAGCTCCACGCGGTCGCGTGTACGCTGACGGCGGCCCCACCCCCGAGCCCGCTCACGGGGACGAACGTGACCGCCGGCCTCTCCCGCGTCGCCCCGGCCAGCGCCAAAAACGTCGCCCTCTTGAGAAGCCCCTCCTCCATTCCGTCGCTGCCGCCGCCGCCGCTTGCCGCGGCTGCGACGCCAGAGGGCCCATGACGGCGAGCCTTGTAGTAGACGCGAAGGTTCGCGACGTCGTGCCACCTCAGTCGGGCGGCTGAGACGGCGTCCGAGACTCCGGCCAGCACGAGGCCCATGGCTTGTTCCAGCTGCGACCCGGACAGGGGAGGGGTGATGTTGGCGTTGGCTGCGGCGTTCGGCGCGACGGACGTCTCGCGTGCAGCACCACCGGCACCCGCACCACCATCAGCGGAAGCGGTGCAGCCGTCCCCACAGACTATCGAGAGCGATGACACCGCCACGCTAAGGATGCGGTCCACCGTCGAGCCCGTCGTCATCACCCTCGCCGAGACCATCTTAGCGCGACCCACCCCGCCCTCCTCGCAAGCAGCTGCTGCTCCCATCCTCGCCCCTCCAACAGCACCATCGTGGCTGCCGCCGCCCGCAGCACTCGGCGCCTCCGGGCTTGCAGGCAGCGCCGAAGCTGATGTGGGCGGTGGCGGCGTGGGGATGAACCTTCCTGGAACGGGGTGGTCCAGGCCCTTGGTTGCCGTTGACGGCGAGGCGCTGAGGGTTTCCATGCGGCAGGAAGGCGGGTAGTGTCGGCAGGGGAGGACCGACAGAGCGGCGCGGGACATGCACAGCACCTGGGGTAGGGACATCATGGCAGAAATGGTGGGGGGGGGTGTACTCATAGTCGTGCATGCCGTCGTCATTAGAATGGACCTCGCATCCCTACAAAGCCGGGACGGAGCACGCCGGGTTCTCACCGGACCAGGCTCTCACATCACCAAGCGCGAAGCGCCGTGAGATATTCGGCGAGTCGCATGAAGGGTGCGCTGCATCCTGCTAAGGGTGTTCGGCATCTTGTGCTTACTTCCTTGCGTACGGATGACAGCTGCGTATGAATTAATTTATTTTCTGGTGCTTTCACTTCCAGAGACAGTTGTAAGCACTGTGTAACTGCCTCGAGGGTGCTTGACCATTTTAACACAACGTGGTGCGATCATCCCCCTTGCGCGGAGTGAGGGTTCACCCCGCACAACATGATCTACTCAACCATCATTATGGTTACCGCCCAAAAAAAATAAACGGAGGAAAAAAAAAAAAACGGTAACCTGGTTGCCGAGTTCACGAAGTGAATTGGCTTGTTTTACAACGTCGTTGCCAAGCGACGAAAACCCAATCCCGATAGGCAAACACCGGGGGGGGGGGGGTGTACTCATAGTCGTGCATGCCGTAGTCGTTAGACCATTGACCTCGAGTCCTTGCAAAGCCGAGACGGAGCACGCTGGGCTCACACCGGACCAGGCTCTCACATCACCAAGCGCGAAGCGCCGTGAGATATTCGGCGAGTCGCATGAAGGGTGCGCTGCATCCTGCTAAGGGTGTTCGGCATCTTGTGCTTACTTCCTCACGTACGGAGGACAGCTGGACTTAAGATACTTTCTGGTGCTTTCACCCAGACGGAGAGAGAAAAGGGGGAAACGTAGACCAACATTGATGGCTGTACAGCTAAGCTAACCCTAAATATCAGCAGCCATCCACCGATGACGACGAAAGGACAAAAAACGTGGTACGGATGAGAGAGAAAAAACGGGCAGGGGGGCATAGAGAGAACGGAACACGTGTTCCCGCCAAGGGCAACGAAGGCCACACCGCCGTGCCAGCGAAGGTGCACGCGTTACCGTACACATGAGCCTCCAGGAGGCCGCAACCCAGCCACTAATTTGTTACCCTCGCCACCCTACCTACCTCTAGCTCGACGGTGGCGTTTCTTGGCAGGGAGGGGACAACGACAGCCAGGATCGGGACGCGGCGCGCCAGCACCTGACCGTCCGTTTGCGAAAGGCGAGGGGGGAAGGCAAGGGCTCGGTTTCTGTATCGGTTCGATCAATCACCACAGCACAAACAAGAGGCAACAAAAGGAGGGGGGGGGGGGGGGGG